TAATTCAATCAAAACTTACAACATAAAGTTGAAACAAAATATTCAAATCTTACTCTTCTCTTAAATGTTTCTAAGTCTTTGGGTGTCAAAGTGTCAGCCTTAGCAATGACTGGAATTAAATTCACGCGGGAGCCCAAACGCTTCATAATCTCAATATCCAAAGGTTTTAAGCTGTGAAAAAAAAATACATATGTTATGTAATGTCATAAGAACGAAGAAATTGTAATCATGAATAATTTGAAGTTTTACGTGTGTCCAGTTGGGCGAATGAAATAAAGGCAAGAATGAACACGCATGTCCAATTTCTCTTTACGATGCGGCTGCTGTTCTTGACGCATATATGACTCATGTTGGTCATCGATAAATTCGACAATTGGTAACCAACTATCTCGGTTGTTAACATAGTCACCAAACCCAGGAGTATCGATGACTGTAAGTTTTACATTAAACATTTTTTCTTCTAGCTCTATAAATAATAATTGATAAATAGCATTGGTTATAAATTAATATACACAATAAAATTCGAATGCTATAATACCTACCAGCCTTTGTTATTTCAATTTCGACTGTTTTTTCGGTTTGCTTAGCATGTCGTTTAGCTTGATTTTTCTTTTCCTTAATGGTAGTCGTAAAAAGAGTATTGATAAAAGTGGTTTTTCCGAGGCCGGACTCACCTAGGATTATATAAAACAAGATATAAATTTGTTAAGTAATTAGTTGAATCATAAACTCCATCTAGACACCCAAGAAGCATCCATTGAAATTTTTGTGAGGCCCTAGAAGGGGATCTTAAGAGTCGCAAAGAAAGTACTTACCAACAACCATCAAGGTAAAGTTGGTTCCTCTCTTGGCTACAATCTTGTGACGTTGGTTCGGTAAGTTTGCAATTCCGATGCCATTAGTGGCTGTAACTGCACTTGGAGACATTATTAATATGGCAAATGACTTGTCAAAGGAAGGAAGAATGGGTTAGTCAAGGGATAACTAATTCTGTTAAAAATGACAAAATTTTCGGTTTATCTGGTGAATTTTCTTTTTCTTGTTAAATGGGGTAAAGCAAAAAGACTTTTTTTCGAAAGAATGTTAAACAAAATATCAAATATGCACTTAGTTGACCAATAAAACGACGCGAATCATTTTATTTGTAAATTATAATTATCATAGTGATATGTAATATGTACATTTAGATTGTTTGGCTATACCATTCGTAACACAGCATGACAAGTACGCGAATGTAGAAGACAAATTTAGCTACACAAAAAATCTTAAATTAACAAAAAAAAATCCTTAAAATAGATCTCGAACTGGCCACGAAACGTTACTATGAATACTAGCATTATCCAATTTATTAAGCTGGTTTGTGTTATCTCCTTATTTCCAAAACGTTAATTCGTGTTAGCCTAACTACCGTAATTTCTTAAGACGTGTAGACTTACTTTTAGAAACTCGCATATACACCTTTAGGTATTCAATTGCCTGATATTTCATTAGATTTAGATTTAAAAGAGTCATCAACTTCCTTTACATATTTATCTATTAATAATTGAAGCTGCAAAATTCCAATGTGGTTAACAGTTTTCACCCCTTCATGTATGATATAAAAAAAGTAACAAGAAGGTACCTGTTTTTCCAGTAATTTTGCTTCATCACTCGGTAATCCATTCTTACTGTCCTTTTTCAAATCTTTTAATCCATCCTGCCTCGCAAGGCGAAGTTTTATTTTTGTATTTTCTGCAATTTTGGACGCGACTTTGATCATTTTTTCACGAAATTCAGTCGTAACTCTATAGAAATAAAACAATTATGAGTAATCGTGTAAGTTAAACATTGGAAAGAAGTGCAAATAACTTACTTTGGAACAGGCACCTTAAGACCTTTTCCATCAATCATTGGATTTAAATTAATATTTGCGTTTCTTATAGCTTTATCAACTGTTTTTAACATCTATAAATAAAAAATAATTTTTTTAAATATGTATCCTACCGTTATCGTGCAAACTCTTATGACCATAAGTTTTTTCCTTCTTGTTATTTTTTGTACGTTAATAATGATTTGTAAAGCATGATCATAATTGCACGATAACATCGATATTGGATCATGCGATGATAAAATATCATAAAATTTGTTCTGTAGGAACAAATTATTGGTTGAAATGTGCCGCGCAGCGGCACATGTCAGCCAACCATTTGCTCCAACAAAACAAATTTCATGATATTCTTCGATTCGGAATCGTGGAATCGTATTATCAGTAATTCTTCATGCTTTCCATACTTCTTCATCGTGTACATGCACTAATAAGGTTTGCGGATCTTTGACTATTATTTGTGTAAGATCCCTTAAAGGTGCGCTACCATTTTCATGAGGTACCACCACGGAATCAAGAATGGCTTGATAATTTAAGTTGATTATTGACGTGAAATTCGCCTATTTTTCGAAAAATATTGAATCCTTGCATTATACAAACCTGGATTTGCTTGACCGATCCTCATTGTACCATATTCTTTTTTTAACCTCCCAAGGATAGTACTCATTTTGGTTGTGACATTTGTCAAATCAAAAGTACTTTTGTTTGCATCCTCCTCTTCGTCTTCTATATTGTCCTCTTCTTTAAACACTACTTTACCTTTTTTACCACCACCTTTCCCACCAGCTTTTTTTTTAGAAACCAACAATCGTCGTTGGCCGGTAAAATTGGGATCAGAAGGGAACGGTAAGGTAAAAGTTAAAGGTGCAACGAAGTTACGGTTGGTGTGAGAGAGAATTCTTCTAAGAAACATTTGTATGACTCCGGTAACGGGATAATCATAAAACGCGTTCGTAAAGTCTTAGTATAGCAGATAGCTGATAGCTGATATTTTTTAATTGGTGGACATTGGTCTACATACTACATAAGTTACATTCTTGATAATTTAAATGCAATTTATATAAATTATCAAAAGGTAACCCTAATGCATCAAAAATGTAATTTTTGTTACTTCCGATTTAGCTAATCCTTTTCAAATAAGCGTTAAAACTAATTTGATTACTTTATACGTACCAAACATATCTGCATATATTTATCTGTATATATTGTAAAATTAAGTTCAAATTTACCATGAAAAATTTCTATTGGTTGGAATCAGGATTCTTGCCACACATAATGGCATGATTAGATCTTTTTTTTTTAGAATGAGCTGGCAGTTGGGAGAGTCAATCAGTATTTATATAACTCCCAACTCATCACAGTACTCCAACTTTAAATAAGAAACAGAGTTGAATAGCATCAATCAGTAAATAGGCCAATTGACCTACATAATGCAAGTCATTTTTATTAACATACAGTAGTTTTTTTTTTTTTTATTAAATGAAATCCCAATTACATAGGTATACATATAGATATTTGATAAATGTTACAATGTTAACATTTGATTAAAAGTTGAATATTACATTCGATACGTGTACATTCATCAAGTACAATATTCGTAAAGAATTCATTCATCGCGATATAAAATATCATAGTGCCCAGGTCTGTAGAGCAGCACCAAAGGTTTCAGAGGTAAAGTGCCCTTTGAAGTCTCCTCTTCTGGGTAAAATTCATGAAAATTGACTTGGTCCAGCGCGTCGGAGCCACTCATATATGCAATTTCAACTGGAACTTTTAAAGCTCGTGTCAATACAAGGACATGAATATGGTCTGCCTCTTTATCCATGCCTTCTACGTATTTACTGCAATACTCATCCATTTCCAAATCACAATCCAGAAATGGTTTGTAATCATTAAAATGTTTTTTCAGGTAGGCCGTTGTGACGAATCGAAGATACATGACTATTTGATTAGAGATACTCTCATCTTGAAAGATAGATAGCAATTTGTCGCTATCGTATTTTCCTTCTACAATAGCTTTTAAATGTCCTTCGACTTCTTCATACATGTCTTCAAAAATCCATTCTTCATACCAATGTGGAAGAAGTTGATTTTTCGTATAAGCCAACGTTTCGAGTGCGTTTTGATGAATTGTCGGGTCTTTAGAATTCAAAAGTCGTTCGAACCACGCAAACCCAAAGGCTAGATAGTACATGAATGACTAGCTTGTTAATTAATCCATTTTCTCGAAATTTTCTAAAACTTATTTCTAGTAATGCAAATATATTACCCCGATAAAAACAGCTGCCATCGCCTCGGCAACGTCTTATTGTATGATGTTTCTCTGCCAATTTCTAGCATGATGGCGATTGGTGATTAAAAAATAAGTTCTTGGTGACCGCCATTGGCAGATGGCTTGTTGTTGACATTTGCAAAAGAATACAACAAACCGTGATCTTCTGTTGATATACTTCACTACCCTGCGAATATTCTTTTAATAAATCATCCATGCTTTCGGACGGACATACGAGTGGTGTTTTTTCGGCGGTTTCTCTTCTAATGGACTCAAGATATTCTTGGTTTTTTTCAGCCGTATATTCGGAGTATTTATATGCATTCGTATGATCATTCGCATGATCTAGATGCGAGCTGCTTTCAGTTGACGCGTCTAAAGTTGAGGTATCAGTCGGTTGAAGTTGTATGCTATCACTCATTGTTGATTCAAAGTTGAAACCTGTTAGATTTTTCAATTCTTTTTTTTCAATATTCCAGTGTTCCAATGAAAATTCCGCTGAAAGAATAACGAGTATCAAGTACATACCTGATACGTACTTAACAAAAATGTACCTTTTTTCTGATTGGTTAATCATTTACAGTGCTTTATTTTTTGGTTAAATAATTTTTATATATATACAGTATAAATATTTTAAATTAAAATAATATCGATATGTATATAAAAATTAAAACGCATCTATATATGATATATTATCAAAATTGGTTAATGATTAATGCAAGATAACCTAAGTAAAAATGCTCTACGCCTTTAAAACCCCTTCCAAACCCTAATCCAAACCCTAAATACTAACTACCATATAGGTCCTTGGCTGATTTTTTTTAGAAGAGTTGCTTAATTTTAGTAACTTTTGAAATACTTAATTCTATTAGCCAATAATAATAAAAATTACTCTTAATTTTATTTATTTTTTTTATATTTTAATGTTAAAATCTAAAGGGTTGCTTATTTTGGGGGTTGCTTATATTTGGTAATCAACTTAATATTAGCTTATTTTAAGTTTAAAAAAATAAATTAATAACATCTCTTTATAAAATTTATATATTTATAAAATAATTGAATCATATTATAAGCATATTGGTTTAAAATTAGATATTTAAAGTTAATATTTTTTTTTAATTTGGCAGTCTTGCCAATACTGTTTATTAAATTTACACTAGAGTATTTTTGGTTACAAATATCATGAGCACAGTTACAACTATCTAATGTATATTACATGTATCAGCTTATAATTTAAGTATCTATGTGTAATCTGCTATGAGATTTTACCTTCTTATAAACTGTCTTGCAATTAGACTAGTTTCTAAATTACTGGATGGTTCCCAAACCTATTATATCATAT